CCAATGAGATCTGGCAAAGCGGAAATCGAGCCAATCAGAGGTTTTCCGATGTGGACTCTTAGCCAATGGGATTTTGCGGAGGTGAAATCGAGCCAATCAGAGGTATTCCCATATGGGCTGTTAGTCATTGAGATTTCGCGAAGCCGAAATAGAACCAAACAGAGATTTTTGCGATATAGACTCTTAGCCAATGGGATTTCGCGAAGCGAAAATCGAGACATCAGAGGTTTTGCGGTATGGGCTCTCGAGCAAGGGGATACTGCACTATGGAAGTCCAGCTAATCAAGGATTTTCAGATATGGGCGCTTAGGCAGTGGGATGTTGCGAAGCTGAGGACTAGCTAATGAGGGATTTTTCGATGTGGGAGAGTAGTCAATAAGATTTTGCGCAAGGAAAGCTGAGCCAATCACGTGTTTGTAGTTATGGCTCATTGGCGTATGAGATTTTGCGCAACTGAAGCTCAGCCAATGAAGGTTTTTTTGATATGGGCCAACAGTCGATGTGATTTTTCAGCGCCAAAATCGGCCCAATGCGAGGACTTCCGAGATGGGGTCTTAGCCAATGGGATTTCGCGCAACCGAAATTGAGCCCATCACGTCCTTTTCCATATAAGCCATCAATGAAGTATATTGCGAGGCGACCAAATTGGCGGAATCTGGCATTTTTCGAAGCGGGTCCTTGGCGAAGGAAATTTTGTAGAGTGGTACTCGAGCCAATCCCGTGTTGTGAAGCTATGGTGTGAGAAAATGAAATTTTTGAGGATGTGGATGAGCTTGTCGTGCGTTTTTGGATTTGGGTTTGTAGAAAATGAGTTTTGAAGAGCAACTAGTGTTTAAAGAATTGCAGTTGCTAAAGAAGATGGTAAGCTGACGTTTTCACTTTATTAATACTTTCATTAGGGATTACAAACGATTTTAAAGTAAGATTCTATCATTTGTCTAAGTTCAATGTCAAGTGAGAAGGAAAGAGCTCAATCCAAGAATATAATGTTCCACAGATCAGCGAACGGTTTGTACAGGTCAGCATTGTGGCGTATTTTTTTTTCATTCTTGTATACGATAGTCTTCACAAATTTCTTTCATACGAAATTTCTAGAAAAGTCGAAATGGTTTTCCCAGTATAATTTGATGTGTCCCATCCAAAAATAGTATAGAAGTTGTTTAAATAGTCCTTACCCAATATGTGTGCCAATACAGTAGTTATTGTATTTTCCTGCTCAAATACCTCAATCTCTGCAGCATCATATCCTTTCAGTAGAGGGTCAGCGACGTTTGCGTCGCGTTAACTTGTTGGATATGGTCAAAGTGTCGGTATGGGTGTGAAGTGTAGGGGTGGACGTGGACTTGGGTACGTAGGCGCGAGTCTTGATCTGGTCCTATGTTTGTGGAATCGGTAAGGAATTTAGGGGAAGAAAAACGCCACAAGCACACCCGACACAAATATTCCCACACCTATATCCCACGCACTACACGCTAAACACGTTTTATCGAGTCGTAGAACAGTCGACCTTTCGGGATCTAATAATAAATGATTGTTGATGGAACCAAAGAATAGGGAACGGTTAGAAGTTGAATAATAAACCTTTCTGCTTGAATCTTAGTATTGTATACTATATAGTTATGTAGAATTCACAAGTCTTTTTTAATTTTATATAGCCTTATTGTCATAAACCTTTTGGTTCATATACGGCAAAAGAATTTAGGACTTCGGCAGAAACTCTTGAATCGTTCATGAAAAGTTGCAGTAAGGACAAGAATTTAATATTCTATGGTGTTTTTTTACAATTTACAATGTATCTTCTTATAGTCACGCGAACGACAATGAACGATTGTAACAATCTCTGCACAATGACACACACATTTAGATTTATCCATCATGGGAAGTAGAAACAGCGCAGAAAGCAATAAAAACATGAGATCAATTTTTTATACATCTTATGAAATGAGTTTGTTTCAATTCTGCGACGAACATTCGTTCTATTGTTGATATTTATATTTGACTTTGTTGATGTATTAGTGTTTTATGTGATGTGATTTCTTCAACAATTTTTGAGGATTCTTTTGGTAGAACAGTAAGTTTGTTAATAACGCATTTTCATCAGCAACACTGCTTTTGTTTCATTTCAAAGAGAAACAAATCTTTCTCCTCTGATTTCTCATGTGCTTGAATGAATCCATCGATACAGTTGTAATGCTTTTTGCGTTGATTGAAAAGGGAGACTGGTGTACAGAGTCTAGTGAGAGTTTTGAAACCCTCTGGTGTCATATCAGTGTTTTTATCGAAATCAAATCCTCATCAACATGAAGGATGACACTAGTTTACTCGAAACACAACGTGCGAAGGAAACATTGTTATCAATAGGTTCTTCATTTTGACTCTAGCTGATGCAATTCTGCGTAATTAGCAGCAATGGAACAATCGAAAAATGCCATGTATTGCAATCTAACTTATACAAGAACGATTTCACTAACATCATTTTTGACACACCAGAGGCGAAATTGTATTAAGACTGGTTTCTAGATTCTATACTGTCCATCTGAAAAAAGTTGGATTCTATGAAATATTGTGGGATAATTTGATGTGTGTGGATGTGGATGGACAGGTATAATTGTCAGTGTGGTAAAGAGACCACTTATTCTCATCCACACGCTAGTGTCATAATTATCATTTACATTTATAAGAAAGAATCTACTAAATGCAACTCGTAGTACTTCCGAAGCCTTGAACTGATATACAAATGAAGTGCAAGAAAATTGAATAGAATGGTATGAAAGATTGTTAAAAATACAGATGAGCGATGTTATGAATAAAAAAATATATGGCTTTAACAAATTCTTTTTACTACTACTTTCAATTTAGTAAATAAGTAATTATGAAATATTTTTGTAGTAGTTAGATTATTTCTTAGAGAGGCAGAAGTATGTATAAAAGAGAAATAAGTCTTATTGGGAAGTTCGGAATGAAGTTAGCACTCTCAAGTTGATAGATAGTTACAAAAGTATAATATACGGACGACAATGCTTTATGCATAAACTGTCTAAGTCATTTGTATAACGGCAAACAATAGAGAATAATGTTGAGACGTATTTGTGACATGTACAACTCCAAATATTCTATCAAAAAAGTAGTTACTTCTGATGATGAAGTTGATTGGAAAATGTTTGAATACATAAAAATGCTTGACGCTATTTTTATTTTGAGAGCTTGACAATGTTGAGAACAGCAATCAATCTTGATGTTGTTTGTAATATATAATTCTATGCTGATTGGTGCCTTGATGCATTCTGTATTGTTATTGGCGAAAGAAAAACAAAAATAGTACACCGAACTTTACGTCCAATATTCAATTTCAAAAATAATATTCCTCTATTGTAGTCAAAAAAAGAAGACTACGAATTCGTCCTTCTTTGGCTGCTGTGGAACGATTTTGCAAAATTTCATCCATCTTCGATCAGAGCAAACGAATTGAACTACTGGAATTGACTCGTTAGTTTCAATTGTTCACCAAGATATGCTCACAGGACATAGTATTTGGGATGCAGAATCATCTCGACCGCTCAGCGTGTGGGATGTGGAACAGCGTCCAACAATCAGTGTTTGGAATAGAGAATCATCTTCAAAGCTCGGTTAATATAGTGGCGAGCATTCTTCCAAGAATAATATCACAAGAAATGTAAAAAGGTAATCAGTTCAGTAATACGTTTTAGTTCAACGTATATCTTCATTTGCCATACTTTTTGTATTATTTCAGTAAAGTATCTTTGTACAAGCCATTCCTTTTTAATTTTGTTATTGGTGGATTAGTAGCTGGTATTGGATTGGCAACAGTGCTCACCTTTTACGTGACACATCTTACAGTACAAAGTATGAAATAAGCGTGTAAAATTTGCATTGAGCTAGTTTAACAAATACTACTTATTAAGCGCAATAAATCAGCTGGACTAACCGGAAATAGACTAACGTGAATATGACACTCCTAATATTAACTCATGCGTAAAGAGTGTTTCATTATAACTGAAGATAATTTGTTAATGATGTATTTCATACTTTTCTTGACGTAGAGAGCTGAAATTTTTATCATATATATATCTAATCAAAATTTTTTATTTCTGAAAGTTTCAGCTCTCTAGCTATAGCTACTGATGAAATACATAGACAAGATTGAAATACTGGAATTTTTGTATCCGTTTTTTGCATTTTCTTTTGACTATAAAAATAATGCAAAAATTGAGTACAAAAATTCCAATATTTTAATCCTGTCAATATATTTCACCAGTAGTTATAACAGAGAGCTGGAACTTTCGGGTTATATGAATTTCAGACCAAGCCGAAAATCACGAAGGACTTTTGGATTGGATCCAAATTCATCTCATCAATCTGATAAGAATAGTCATGCTTCTATAACCAGTTGATACGCTTCGTGGCGCTAAGCAGGACGTTGTAGTGTTGAGCAGAACGTCCTAGCGCTATGTAGTCTACTTGGATTCATATTATAAGTGTTGTAATCTTAAGAAATAACTACTACTTCTCCACAACAAGTGTCAAAATAAAACGAACTGTCAAATGCTAAACAGGATGCTATAACTATAATATAATCTAAAATCATGCTGCTACGCATTATGTCGTCCTGCTCAACATTACATCGTTCTGCTCGGGATTGCGGAAATGTGCTAACTATTCATTGAAGCTAGACTAGTTTTTATAAATAGCAGTAAGATGAATTTCGTTTCGGGCCCGAATTTCCGGTAATATTTCAGCCTGGACTGAAACTCCGCCAGAATTTTGGATCGAGGTGAAAACTCGGGCCAAAAATTCCTTGGACCGAAATTCTAGCCTCCAAACTTTCAGAAATAAAAGATCTTGATTAGGTATACACGGTGTTCCGTAAGTCATTAGCCAAAGAGAAATTTGAATATCTCATCCGGGCCGTGACCAAATGAGCTATTTTTTTTTACCGTTGATAGAGGACTATTTCTAGTTCATATTCATAAGAATAGCGTTAGCAAAAAATATTTCGAAGTATTGCTTTCGAAACCAATAAAAAGAAATAGTCCTCCTATAGGTTTCGAAAAACATTGTTTTCGTTTAGGACAACTTTATGTTGTAAAACATCTTACTCTAATGAATATAGACTAGGAACAGTCCTCTATCAGTGGTAAGAAAATCTGTTCATTTGGTCAAAGCATAGTGGAGATATTCAAAGTTTTCTTTGGTTAATGACTTACGGAACACCCTGCGTATGTGATAAAAATTTTAGCTCTCTACATCAAGAAAAATATGGAAAACATCATTAACAATTTATCTTCAGTTATTATGAAACACTCTTTATTTTTGCATGCATTTGCTGACTAACTGTGTCATATCTGATGAAGAAACCTTTCCAGATGCTTCGTAGTTTTTCAGTTCATATTCATGGTATATAAAAAACCATGGAAGTGTTCTAATCCTGGAAGAATTTTTATGTAAGTAACTTCTAGACGTAGTTATGATCGTTTTACTGCATTTTTTCCTCTAGGTCACGGCTTCTCAAAAACATTAAATGCATAATTTTTACGGTGAAATTTCGCATGAAAGCAGGGTAGACAGCCAAAACAACGCTATAACAGTTTCAGTTTAAGGAGACTCCTCCTTTCAGAGTTTCTCGAGAACGGCTAGACAAAAAATTTTAGAAAATTTCAGGATAGATAGATCGCGATGAGTAGAATAAAAATTGTCATAGGCTCTAAATTTCCAAATGCTTCTTTCCAGAAGATATTGGAAGGTCAAGGGTCAAAAATGACCTGAAGTTTTCCTCCCTTCTTCTCCTCCTCCCCGCAAGCATTCATACGATATTATTTAGAACTGAAACTTTTTCATTGGCAACTAGAAACAAATCTAGATGCATGTTTTTTTTTCTTTGAAAAATGTTGTTCCTGAAGCTTAGGAGACTCAAAACAATAGAGGCACTATCAAAAAACCATTAGAAGTAAGCTTTTTTTCTTATGGTGCTAATTGTGTAAAATTTGCCAAATTCGACAGGTACAACATTTTCATAAGAAAAAAAAACACGCACTCCAATTTGATCGAACTACTTATTAAAAAAGCTTGAGTCCAATTGGTCAAATCATCTAGGAGAAAAGGTAGGAAAACTTCGGTTTTTCGTTTAAAAATCTGATTTTGAGAAAATTGCAAAGAAGGTTGCAATTTTTGACATTTTTTAGCATAAAATTGAGGTTTCTTCGACTTTTTTATATGCAAAAGGATGGTTTTACCTTCTTAAAATATGCTCATTAGATAGAGGGCAATTAGATCTTTATACTAAACATTACAATTGAAAAACGAAAAACCTGAAAATTTTGGGTCGAGAAAGGTGAAGCTCTCTTAAACGACGGGATCCTCTGCAAAAATATTCAACTCCTAATAAACCTAACGCTTTTCGATAAATGAAATACATTCGCTTAGCTAAGTTTCATGGAGAGGACATTCTCGCATAGCTAAAACTGCCATACTATTCTTCTGACCATCACACCTGCTCGTAGACACATTTCAGCTCATAACTCGCGCATTTGAAATTTTCGAACAGTCAGAACAATAGAACACAAACATAGAGTGGGAGTGGGATGTGCGTATGGATGCAAAGAGAAGACCCATACGCACATCCACACTCGCACATTCAACCTGCTGAGCGGATTTGCTTAATACAACAGCTATGATAGATTTTATGAAACTGTTTTTATCAGTGTTTACTGTATATACGAAATCATATATAGCTACTTTGACCACAACGACTAGCACAAAAACGACGACGACAACCGCTACGACTACTTCAATGACAACAACAACAACGACAACGATAACAACCACAACCACTACGGCAACGACATCGACTGCAAGTGAGACTATTGCATCTATCTTGAGAACCACTAGCGTTTCCGAACTTACATTTTGAAAACCTAAATTTACCTCGAGTCGTAAAAATTTTCGGTGCTTAGAATCGAGAAAGGATTTAGAAAGAGATTCGCGATTTTTACACCGACATTAAATGTTAGATCTTTAGATATTTAAAATTTGTAAATCAGCTTCGCACATAAGTTGGCCATAAGCTTATGTATCAGTGATGCATTGATAAATTAGATTGATTAATAAACATGCTTGACTTATGAGAACCTCACATGTTTATGAGTCTTCATAATTTTCGATAAAAAAGTACGATTTATCAACTGCTATTTATAAATCAACTTAACCCTTTGGCTGCGGGTTTGAGAAACTCAAAGCTTCTTTTTTGCTATGTGTATGAATGAAAAAAAAAACAAATGGAATGTACATATGTGTGATGCTAAACTATAACAGTGGCAGAAGAAATGAAAGAAGAAAAAAGAATTTACAGATATAACGTCACCTATAGTACCGCTATAGACAGAAAAGTTTCTAATAAGGATTTTAGGTTTTAGCAAATTTTTCCCAAGAAGTCAGTTGTGTTATATTTTTTATGTATTATTGATTGTCGGAGTCAAATAATCTACAACTAGATTTACACCAAAAAAGTACCTGATAAATGCTTTCACGAAAATTGATATCACATATGAATCTATGGGTTTTAATATACCAGAAAACTACTGTGACCTATACCGGAGTCAATAACAGTCAAAGGATTAAAAATGAGTTCACTTCACAGGCTTAAGTGATCTGATGACCCAATATATTCTTGAACAATCTTTTTCACCAATAACAACAATAACACCTGTTATTTCAAGTACTTTTTAACTTAGAAAACTTTCTCCCAAGTTTAAAATGTATTTTTCATTTGTAACATATACTTTTAGCTACTACTACTACAACAGCTGCATTCATAGCTAGTGCATTTTGGCCATTTGATAACAACGCTCTCGAATTATACAATGGTCTTGATGGTACTCTTTCTGGTCTTCCATCATATACAACTAGTTTTCTTGGATATGGAGCAGCAATTAATCTTGATCAATCATTATCTCAATTCGTTTCTATCACACCAATAGTTATCCCTTTGAATTCGCGTAGTTTTACTATCGAAGCATGGATTTATCCTATTGGTTTGACAGGAGGTGAATATGGAATATTTGGTCAATGTCAATCTACAAGTACCAATTTATGTTTACATTTTACATCACGAAACAACAAACTATATTGCGGATTCTATGCTAATGATGTAGAAGGCGCTACCACACTGACAATGAATGTGTGGACTCATGTCGCTTGTGTCTATGATTCAGTCAGACTGATACAAGAAGTCTGGCTCAATGGTGTGCTTGATGGTTTACATTCTGGAAATCCTTATCAAGGCTTATGGGGTGCAACAACTATTGGTGCTACATATAGTACAGGCAACATGGATTCTTTCAATGGCTACATAGACCAAGTTCGATTTGAATCTAGAGCTAAAAATAGTACAGAGCTCTGGAATGATGCTTCTCTCTACGTCTATTATTCGTTCAATGATGGTTCTCTTCTTGATAATGGTCCCAATGGTATAAATGGAACTGCTTCAGGTGTTCTAACAAGTATAACAGGTCGAATCAATAGAGCTATTCAATTTAGTTCGGGATCCTATATATATTACACATATGCTCCATTTTACTTTTTGGGAATTAATAATCATGCTTTCAGTATATCTTTGTGGGCACAACCAACAGGAAGTTATGCAGCATCGACACTGGTATTTGTGGAACAGTTGGCTAGTTGGTGTGTTCACTTTTTGGTAATGAATTCAGCTGGATATTTAAGTGCATATTTGTGGATTGGGAGCGTTGTAAGCACCAATGGCCCCATACTTCCATTGAATAGCTGGACACACATTGGATATACGTATAGTTTGAGTAATGGTATTCAATTATATATAAATGGTGCTCTGTATTCAACGACAGGCGGTTTTTCATTTTCTGCTTCTGGTGTTCCTATGCATATGATTTTGGGAAACGATGGGGGTCGAACCAGCTGCTCTCCAGGTTTTGGAGGTCCATTTACTGGTGCATTCGATGAATTTTATGTGCATAATTGTGAATTAACGGCATCGCAAGTTAGTGCATTAGCGAATCCTTAATCTAAGAACTACACGAACTATTTGTTATATTGACTTCTCTATGATCATTCTATTGTTGAACAAACAAAAGACTATCTCGCTTCAATATTAAAGTGTTTGGCAGTAATTTCTAGAACATGACTACATGTATTGACCATAGTAGGCTCATTAGAGCCTACAAAGATGCGTTATATTGACATGATGGCGATGTAGAACTTAAATGTCGCACGATTATATACTGAAACTTAGGTATTAGAGTCGTCATGACATATTGTAACTTTTCTTGGGAACTTTTCAGGTCTTATTTGGAAGCTCTGCTTGATTCTATGAATCAAAATGCGAGGAAATAGCTTTTGCTGTTGTTAATAAACTCTCTTTAGAAAAAGGTTGTCCGTTCAGACTTGATTTCGCTGAAATATTGAACTGGTACTAGAGTAAGGCATCTACATAAAAGGAACAAGCATAGAAATGAGGAAAACAATGAAGACTATAACGATCAACCCATCATCAGTCAAAAATGCACATGTTCTGGACGAATACTTTCGATTACTTTTTGAAGACAGAAAATAAATGAGAATAAAAAATTTCGATTTGAACAGAATTATTTTCAAACGAATATTGTTCGAATAGATGCAAGAATCATTAATGAAACTCACTCTCTCGGGTTTTGACAGTGTATGCAAAAAGGTGTGAATGTGGGTGTGCGTTGGAATGTGCGTCTGGATATAGAGCTGACTGTGGCTATAGGTGCATGTTTGGGTCTACGTCTGGGTCTGGGTGTGAATCTGGGTGTGAGTATGTTTAAAGATGCTGCATCGTAGTCGCCTGATACTCTCAAACAAATACATCTGAAATTTCGCAGGACCACACGCCCACCAATATGTCGCACACACATGAACACTCATATTTTCACGCAGCCACACCCTAAACACTTTTTATGGGATTGGAGAATATGAAACGGTTAGGCATCAAATAATAAAGCTTTCTGCTTGAATAGTTGTATAGTAGGCTCTGATATAGAATTTATGAGTCTCTTGTATTTTTATATACCCTTGGCATCATGAATCCTATGGTTTATAAATGCATTAAAGCTTTGGAACATTGACATAAAGCCTTGAAGGATTTGTGAAAATTCTCAGTAAGACAAAAAAATTTTATATTCTACAGTTTTTTTAAAGTTTATGAAGTGTTCCATTATAGTTAACTCTACGAAAATGAACAACGGTGGCAATCAATGCACAATGACACATACATTGAAGTTTTATTCATCATGAGAAGTCGAGACAACGCAGAAAGCAGTCGAAAATGGATCTATTTTTTCTTCTTCTAACGAAATGAAGTTCTTTCAACCTTGTGGGAAACATTCATTCTGTTGTTGGTAATTATATTTGACTTTGTCGATGCATTCGTATTCTGTTTCATGTGATTTGTTCGACGATTTTTGTGAAATCTTTTGGAAGTAGAGATATTTCCAAAAATGATAGATTTGTGTATTCCATTAATAAGTGATCTATTCGAGATAAATTTATGCGAAATAATACTTCAATGAATATGAAATGAAGCTATAAAAAAATTCTTGTAAATCGCTTGAATGGTTAAAAGAGATATTCTCGTTTCTTTTTCGATCGAGCTTTTCGAACACACTGTACTTTCCATATAAATAGACGATTAATTCTTTGTTTTCCTGTATAAAATTTAAAATCAGTTATGTAATATATAAAAACAGCGGAGCAGCGTGTTATCAGAAAATGAAATGAATAAAAAGTTCAACAGGTCATGATTTGATGAAATTCGGTATAATTTAGCCATTGATATTAGTTTTTATTTCATAATTAGTAAAGTTCAGAGCCAGAAAACGAATAGAACTTGAATTGTAGACCTTTAGACTTCGATAAGATCCTTACTCTTCATATCTTAATTACATATTGCTGATTCTAAATTATATGTCTGAGCAATTGCATTGGATGTGAATAATAATCGTAGACTTTCCGAGTAATTTATCTTAGGAATAGTAGCACTTCCGAAAGAACGGTAATGACATTTATCCAGGACTTTTCTTGCTCTATTGTAGTAATAAATTCAATTCAAATATTTCATCTTATATCTTATTCTCATTTTAATATAACTATGTGGAACTTTCTAAATGTCGTCATGTAACAATTGTTGTTAGAACTGTTGAAACAATATTAAAAGTTATTACTCGTAAAAATGTATCGATTTCTTATGTATAATTTCGATTACTAATTCGCTTAATTTCAAACAAATGGAACGTGTGAGCTATTTAATTTAATATTGATTTTTGTCAATGTCGATCATAATATTTTCTATACTCATGTACTACGTAATATGAGCACTTATTCAATTATATAACACCAATGTATTTTTTTGCATCATATGATACATCACATGTAGAATTAGTTGAATAGATAAGATGGAATTCGTAAAGAGCTTAATATATGAAATAAAATATTAATGAAATATCCTGCTAGTTAACTGCTGTTTTAATTTTAAAAATAAAGGAATAACATAGATAGACTAGACTAAATCGGCTAAGTTTGTACACGATCTATCTTTTAAAAAATTGTTGATTTTGGTAAAGCAACAAATTCAACAATGCCCTGGAACTTTAATTTCATTTATTCTCGTATTCGTATTCTCAAAATTAATCATTCATCACTCCATCTAATTCAGTTTAACATGAGACAATTACAATGTAAAAAATTCCTTCTTAAACTTAAAACTCAATTCATGTTGGGAAAATTGTTTATTTAAATGGCTTCTTTTGATAATACAGTCTGTTCAGATTACTTCGGACACGCTTTAGATTCAAGCGAGCATTAGTATTACATTTCCATTTGTTTGTCTTGCTTAAGACTACTGCAGTGTAATTTTTTCTTCGAAAATTGACATATAGCAAGAAAGTAGACTTAATTGCATTGCTTGATATATTAGTCATGAATAACATATTGAGTTCAGAGAAAAAAATGTGACTTAGTGTTTTTTACTACGATGTACAGTAAGAGTAAATTAAAATTTTGTCTCTCCTTTTTTT